TTTTTTTTTTACACGTCTTGTATTGATTTACACTTTGTTTAACTTGAACTAAAATCAACAAACTTTTTATTACCGGCGAAAAAAAGCAATAACACCATTTGAAATATAAAAAAAGGGAGATCAATAGATCTTCAAGCAACGTACTCTCATGGTACACATGCTATGGTGGTTTCCTTTCTTTTATATTTTGAATTATACGAAAAGAAATTTTTTTTGTTGAACTATTAAAAAAGTCTACAGAATCTTTAACAATTTTGATAAATCAAGGAAATGAATAAAAAAATGAAAAAAAAGGAAAAGAAAAAAATCATGATAAAAAATTAAAAAGAAACGAAAACATGAACATATAAATTTTGCTACTTGAAACAAATACAAATATATAATTAATGTATGTATATTAAAAAGACAAAAAAATTGTAAAACAAATAAAAACTAAACTTTGTTGGGAGTTGCTCTTGCTAAGTTTAACAATTAAAATATGTAACTTATAACGACAAACAATTTACAAAAAATACAAAATACAAAATAAAAAGTAAAAATAAAATGCGATCGGTTGGCAAATCTTATTCAACTTATATTTCAAATATTTACGATTGTAATAAATATCGTCCAAAATCTAAAATAACTTTTCACACACAATCATTTAATAGCAACAAATAGATTTATTTAATTTTCTTTAAATTAAGTAAATAATACACATATGCAGGAAATAATTTTGTGTTTTGATATGATCATTTCAGCTAAATTTGATTGTTTATACGTATTCATTAAATGTCTATTTATCCTATACGTATTTATATTATATACAAAAATATTAATGGATTTATATATTTCAGATAAATAAAATTCAAATTGGGCGATAAAACTTGTTTTTAATGGTTAAAGATTAGTTTAAAAGAAAATTTGCATACTATATTCTGTCAATATTAGAATTATTGAGCACAACGATTACTTATTAAGATCAGTTCTAAAAGTAAGAAATAAAAAATGCTTCTCAGGCAAAAATTACTATTACAAAATTTATATTAAAACACGAATGGATTTCAAGATGAATGCATGGGTTAGGATAAGATACACCTAACATGAATTAGGTAATATACACTTGGATTAACAGAAACATATATCAGAGTAGTTGTTAGTTCATTTATTATTCCTTTATAATTGATAAAAAGGATTTAGTGAAAAAAATTAGAGCTTATAAATCAGTTTTTATTTTTGTTTTTATTATTATATAGTATTCTATATAATTATCGCCAACATTTGGAAGATAATTGTTCTTTTTCCTCAGGGCGGAGTATTATAGTTGTTCTTTTCCTTCTATTCATATAAGGCGGTTATTTATACTGTTTACAATTTTAGTTTTAAATAATAAACAATAAATTAAATACTTTACAATGTATAAACAAAAAACAATAGGATTATGTAGTTAAGGTTGTAGTAGTCACAGCTAGCTCTCTCCTCTTTCCTGTTCATAGTTCTGTTTATGTTTTTTAGTATGTGGAGGCTCTCTACATTCAATATTTTGTTATGCTTTTTTCCCTTATTATTGTTACTCTGTCTAGGTGTGCTCTATGTTTGGTGTTTGCTGTGTTGTGCTAATGCAGAACACATGCATTCAATTTTTTTCACTTCAGGTTTTTTATCAACTATCAAAAACATTTCTTCCGATATTTTTAAATACAATTCTTTAGATAAAGAGTAAAAATGGATATCTTGTCTTAAAGAATTATATTAAACTACTTATATACATATTTAGGTTCTTGTAAAGTGTTCATACACTTTACCTTGAATCCAATCAAATCCACCAACCCTGGTCATAAGCATAAAAATTACGAACTAAATACGCTTCCACCTGAAACGGTGGAATATATCGAAAAACTATAAACATTCATTTGGTGTTACGACTTCGAACAGAACAACATTCTGCGTCAGTTCAATTTCTTAGTGTTTAAGTTCCAGCTGTTCTTGATGTTACAAATCGACATAGGATCAACAGAGAGAAGGCGCATGCCTCATTCCATGTTAGGAAGTGATATGGTTTAAATGTAATGAATCGGAAAACTACATTTCATACACACTCGCAGATTCATCACTGCAAAAGTTCTTCGTGGATGCATATGAAAAAAAAAACGATTAATAAACGCAATACAGTTTCGAATCTGTGAAATATAAGAAGACTTGGCTTTTGTTATATTTGTAATTGAAACTCAAAGTTATATCGAAAAATGAATATAAGAAGTTATAACATATACATGTATATTATATACAAATACAAAGGACAGCCTGTACAAATAACAATCAATGACTTCAATATCAGACTACATAACATTATTATTATATTTTGAAAAACTATTTTATTTTTATAATATAAAATTAAAAAATAAATAAATTTATATATTTAACGTTTTATTTTTAGCAACATATTATATTAGCTTTATATAAATTTCTTAAAACTTAGCTATTAACCAGCTAAGCTAAGTATCAAATAAATATTAATATTTATTATAAGATTCGTCTTTAAAATTAGATGTGAACTCCTGTTTCAGTAATATGAAGCAAATTTTATAAAATTTTCTGCTGATTTTATTTTATTAAGATGACTAGAGTATTTTTTGAAGAAAATGTCAAAATTTTTTCTTAATCCATATCATCATCATCATCATCTGATGGAACAAAAAGTTCATTCTCCTCTAAAAAGTTTGCTATACTTTTGCTTATTGCTGCACCTATAAACAGACCAGGAACAACTGCACACACTACTCCAACAATACCAAAGCTCATTTGTTCTGGTTTGGGCTTAAGAGCTCCACTTCTGAAGTAAGTGGCGTGACGACAAAATTTGTTGAAGTTGATTAAAGCAGGTAACTGACGAGATAAAATTAAAAGACGTGAGGTTGCCATTATTTAACTTAAAATTAAAAAAAATTAATTATTCTTCTATTTAATATTGTAAAAAATCAACAAACTTTTTTTTTTAACCAAATGTGGATATTTTTCTCACTTTCACAATGTCGTTATTCTGCACAGGGTGAAATATATCTATTTATTAAAAAAAATTTAAGCGAGATTACAAACAAGAAGCACATCATACAATAAATATAATATATCGATATATATTCATAAATAGCATTATATATTGTAATCAATTACATTTATTATGATATGAATTGTGGTAAACGCAAAGTAATTGATTTTGCAATTGAAAAACGAAATACAATTTAATCTAGATATGCTTACTTTCAATTTGCCACCAAAAATCCCCCGGAAAAAAAACTCATTGAGACTCTAAAAATGTTAATTTATTATTATATTATCTTATAAAAATTGTTAATAGTACTTACAAAATTATACGTCTTTTCTTAAAATCGGAAAGTGTAAGAATCAGATTAATAACGACTTAAAAAGTAAGCTCAGTGATGACGCGTTCCCTATTTGGAAGGATGTGGGGTCCTTCTACAATGTTGATTTCACATGTACCGCTTAAACTATTTATTAATAATAACTATATTACATTAGGCAACAATTTATTCACAATATAACATTTAACAATTGATCAACAAAATAGTATATTAAATATGTTATATTAAATTATTAATTTATATGTATGTATAAGTTTAATGTTATATCAACACAATTTTTCACATATTTCTCATAACATCAAACCAATTTTATTCAAACAAAAGAGTTTATACTATAATTTTATTTATAATATGATAAATAAAAACTATATGAATATAAACTATTCATATATCAATTCATTTTCTTGTTGATGTATGGAATTATTTATAGTCATACAACACTTTTTTACTTGAATGCTTTTATCATTTTTTAAAACTATCGCTATATATATTTACTTTAATTACAAAAAAGTGCATAATTTATATAATTTAAAGAATATAATGTGAATATAAATCTTTAACTATTTGATTTTAATTTTCTGAATGTGCAGAATTTTTATTATTTGATTAAATAAACCCTTTACGTTTTTCATACATAAATTTTGTACAAAAATGAAGAAAGTATGTGTACATGTAACATCTACATTGAGCAAGAATTAATCAGTGTGCACACTGCTTAATATTGAAATTTCATAGCATCTCTGTCGTCAAAAAAGCCGCCGACTGTAAAACACATTGAAAGCTGTAATATATGTTATTTTGCTTTTACATGCTAAAGTAGTGTTGAATTACGAAAATGGATAATCAAGGAGAGCCGGCAGTATTTGTAAGGCTATTTTATGAAATTCAAATGTGAATATAAATAATGTAATTGGTTTTCAACAGGGTATAAAAGATGTTTTAAGTACGCGCTTTGGAAATACCCTTACTGGAACATTTGTCTCTGGAAACAAGATAGCGTTGAGCGCATATCGCCCAATAACATGTACAACAGTGGATAAACCGACCGAATATAATGAAAAAGACCCCGTACAAATACATTTACTTCAACCAACTTTTATTTTTGAAGATCCAATTTTACGTAGTTTAATTGCTGAAGGATGTGCTACTTTTGTTGCTTTACAAAGGCTTAAACGTGCAGGTTCAAAGTCAGATTATATTAAAATTTCTAGGACATATCGAAGTATAATTAGAGCGTGCCTTGAGAAATTGCAAGACGCCGCCCTTATAGATGAAGAAGAAAAATACCAACGATACATTTCTACATTCTACCCCATAGAATGCATTTGGCACTTATGTGAAATTTTATATTTGGATGTAAATTCAAATAACTTGATATCACCACAATTATTGGATTGGATAAGGTTTCACTTTCCAACTGGTGAACGTTTAGCAACCGATTTATTACTGTTGGGACGTGAAGCTAGTGACAATAAAAACTACTGGCCAACTTTAAAAAGTCTTATTACACAGGGGCAAATAGAGGTAGCACGAGCTCTTTTACATTTGCACCCGTTAATAGATTCACCCACATATCAGTTAGCGGATCAAATTCTTAGAGCGATACCGAACTGTAATGTAAGTAGGGTGATATATAATAGTATATACTAAATAATTATTATTATATTTTGCTTTTAAAAGATACACTCTGGATTTTCTGTACAAAAATTTCGTGCTCAATGGCAATACTGGTTAACTGATACGGAACAAAAATTATCTTCCAATATTCTGGCTGGTGAACCAAAACTGGAAGAAATTATACAAGTATTAAATTAACATAAAAAATTAAAGGCATATTTAATGCATACTATTTTAGTTGATAACTTGCAACACAGATGTTTGGAATGCTGAAATTAAAAATGCCGAGTACTGGTATGAACTTTTTCCTGGTTTTCTCTTTTATTCAAATCCTACTTGTAAATTGTTTGAACTTGGTAATATTGCGAATAATTGGCTTGATCGGTTTGCACAACAAAAGCATATTAACAGTAGATCCCTGCTTCTTAATCAGTTAGACCAAATAATCTTAAGTCTTATGGAAAATAATTTACATGAAGTTATACATGAAACTCAGCTATTAGCTGATAATCAATGGTTCATAACGCATTTATGTGACTTATTATATAACAGCGGAAATTTGGAAAATATGGGTAATCAACGTATAAGGTATGCATTATAATGTACTAACAATTATATATATATACAATTTTAACTAAGATCATTTTAGTGAATGCGTAAAGCTGCGACACTCATTAGTATATGAATTCGGAACGTGCTTAATGACAAGAAACTCTTTATGGCAACTAGGAATTGATTATTTAGATTACTGTTCCCATGAAGGTACTATAATAGAAATAATACACTTAGCGTATTTACATTTACTAAAATGAATAATTTTGTTTTTATATATTTAAAGGCAAAGTTGCTCAGGAATTATTATTAACCAAAGTTGTAATCAAGTCTGAAAAACAAGCCTTAAAGGTTATAGGAATTGCACGAAAGTTGGGATTTATTGACGCTGGTATTAATAATTATTTTACCTTTAAAAATTAAATTTTATTAACAAAACATTATATTAGAACAACAAATATGTAAAATTGAAGCTAAGAAGTCATTTAGTATCAAGCGTTATGGTAATGCATTAGAGTGGGCAATTCGATCTAAGGACAACATTTTTGTCACTTCTATTGCCGATTTCATTTTAAAAGTATTGAAACATATAATACAATTAAATATAAAATAAATAACAATTTTTTGTATAGAATTATGGTGAAACAGGTGATATGGTATGTCCTGATATTGTAGCTAATATTGGACCTAAGATGTTTATATCGCCACGTCTTGTGTTCCTAGTTAAATATTTTGATTTCTATCAATTTTATCGTAAACGTAATTTTTTACCTGCAGCTGAACTTTTGGTAAACCTATTAGATTCGAAAATAACTCCAGAATAGTAAGTATTTAAAATATCATATAATGTGTATAACAAAATTGAATGCTTCTTAATTCTTTTTCTTACATTTTTTCAGCTTTTGGCCGTCTTTGTTGATTGATACTATACCATTATTAGAATCTAAAGACCCTAAAATATTATCCAAGGAAACTTGCGCGATTTTATATCACTTAGAGTCGGAATTGGTGCCACTTATCGAAAAGAAGAAAAAACGTCTTGAAAAATTTCCAAATGTGAGTTTTTAGAATGAACATATACTTTACTATAAACATTTTTATTAGTATAAATGTGTATATATAAAGATGAAAACGCAATTACAATAGTATGCAACAAATCAGATGAAATCAGATCCTCATAACATCCTGACCACACCTATTAAGCACTACGTTTTCGGTGTGGTCAGGTGACTGCGTACTAGGAAGACATGATATAAGACTGAGTTTACCCTATAATGATTTTAATCGTAGTTGTTGCTTTGAGAAGGGGGAGAAATCAGTATTTAACCTTCTTTGTCAGTGTACATTTATAGCTAATAGATTAAAAATATATGGGCAACTTTTTTTACCTATCTGACACACTGTCATACAAAATAATGAACATAGCCAAGTTTAAGACTTAAAACATGT